GGCGCCGGCAGCTGCTTCTCGCCCGGCTCCAGGGGACGAAGCGGGGCAAACGCTCCGCACTTCGCGGGGAAGAAGGTCCCTGGTGCCTGCGGCGCTGCCACCGCTTGTCGGGGTTACCCTGTAAACACCAGCGAAGTTGCCGTGCAGTAATGTAATGCTCTTCTGCCCTAATAAAAACCAGCTCTGTTTAAAAAAACAAAACAAAGCAAAAAACCGAAGACAACCTAGTGTTGAAGTGTGTCCCAGAAGTACACCATTAGACTGCGTGAGCTTGCTTTCTTGCTTTGGTTTTACTCATTCTTTAATGTACCCAATTCTCACTGATTTTCTCACCCATCTCGGTCTGCTGGGGTTAGGTGGAAAAATCGGCAGATTGTTTCTTCGGTAGAGTCCTTCAGGTTGTTTCATCGGCTGTTTTGTGTCTAGTGGATGGTGTTCTTTCTGTATAGCTGATAGGGTGTTGTGGAGAGTCTCTCCCATGAAGTCCCACGGGTCTGCTGTCAGTGTGGTGTGGGAGCACCTGCTCCCTAGTCCATGTTTGCCTAGCTAATACGCTTTTGCATGTTGGGTTGATTGGAAAGGATGTTTCTACCTATGAGAGTGATGGATGGTTTTCTTTAAAGTTGAGAGAATTGAGACTTGTAAACAAAAGTAGATGGTGTTTGGTAGAAAGAGTAAATGTAGTAGAGTGGAGTTTTGCACCTTTTCTGAAGAATGCGGCTTGGTTTTGTTTGTTGTTTCATATTATAGCACGCTGTCATAGTCCACTGTAAATCTTCAGCTTGTTTTCAGCATTGTGAAGAGGAGCGTATGCAACACTGTTGTTGCTATACTGGAAATACGTCAAGTGATTTGGGTTTTTCTTCCAAATGGAAAGTTCCTTGTGCATGAAAGATTTATCTGCTTCTTGAAGCAGGTGTGGTTTTGCATGAAACTGTTTTTCAGGTGATTACATTCTTTCCTGCATTGTAAATTCCTGTTTGACACTGCTAGACATGAAAGTATACAGTTGAATCCTTCTAATAAAGGATTGCTTGTTTCTCTTAAAGGTCCAATAATAAAAAGAAAGTCGTCTTTTCCTAAACGCATTTGCCATTTTAATATAGGTCTGAAGAGCATAGTTGTATCTTTCTCACTTTTAAGTCTGCTGTTAATGTCCTGGAAGATCTGTGAATATCTTTTTGTTTTAATTCCGTTAGGGAGTTTGTGGATGGTTTGGTAGTGCTTCCTTCTCTTAAGTTCACTTTGGTAATGATGCCTATAACTGAAAACATCTTGTTTGGGTTGTGTGAGGAGGAGGCAGTTATTTGTTCTTAGTGTGATTCATTCCTGGATAGTTTTCCTAAGAATCACAATTTCAGTGTGACATAGTTTACTGAGCAATGAAAGAGCAAGGGTTTTCCATCCCTTCTTTAAATACAAAATACATGTGTTGCCACTTAAAATGTTTGGCTCTCTTGTTGAATTGTAATCCTAGGAAGACAGTTTTTATACAGGGATGAAAAAAATGGGCATTTGATCAGGATTTGGATAATGAAATGACAGATTACAACTGAAAATACAGCATCTTGGTGGGGAGTTCTTACCGTGTGCTCTGTAGAGGTGACTGCCCAGAGGTGGCTGTGAGATGTCACTTAGTTTCACCAGTTTGTGTGACTCCTTTGAAGAATTCTTCATGTGCAGCTAGAGGGAGGTTTTCTGAGGTGCGGCTTACGTTGCTTTGCTCAAGTAAGATGATGTGCAGTTGCAGGAAGGAATATCGTTATTGATGGAGCAAGGATTTGTTAAAATTCAGGGTTTTCAGGTATTTATTCTTGCTCTTTGCCTTTGAAAGAGTGATTTGTTCACCTATTGGTGATGAGGAAACTTGAAAGATTCTTTGAATGTTTTCTGGTTCTTTTTATATCCTTTGTCGAAGGCATATTCATGTCTTGAAACCATACAAAAACCGTGCAGTGCGATTACCGACAAGTCATACAGGGATAAGGTATTAGAAAATGCGCTCTTACTCTTGTGGCTGTTCTATGTTGCAGTGCCTTGTGGTGGTTGCAGGTTTGAACTTTCTATATATACAGTTCTTTGTGGACTGTTACTGCTGTTGTGTTGCCTGCATT